AGATGTGTATAAGATAACTGTTGCACCCTCCAATCAGCCCCCCCCCCACCCACATGTCGATATTACTAGATATGTAACTACTATTATCCTATTTCAGCTACTGTACTATAAATGGATTATACTTATGGATAAAAACTCAACAAAACCATAGCAGAAAGGGAAATTAGACAGTACAAGCAACAAATTTATATGTTTACTTAGCCTAATACAAACGAGGTGTTCAGCACTTTATGAAACCAATAAACTTTATTGCAACATAACCTCAAGCCTCAATTCACACGGTGAACTTTTTCAGTTGACTGTGTCACAGTCGAAACTCACATGTTCCTAAAGTTCACTGCTTATCGTTGTAATAAGCCTTTTAATTCTATAAAGTGCTTTTCAATTGAATGATTTATTCATTACATAAAGAACTTATTTATATTAATTTTTTCCCCCCCGTTTCTTAGGTTTAATCTACCCAAGTATTATAGCAATGCCACTTGTAGCCTCCATTGCTCTTCGGCATAAGACAGTTGAAGTCCCGGAGATGAAATTTAGCAAAGCTGCAATTAACGCGCAAATGAAGTTCTGGGTACAGAAGAGCCGTTTCTTCAAGTCACAGTTTATAAGCCTAGCTTTGTTCCAGTGCGTGGCAGGAATGTACATAGCTCACAAACAGTACGCGGTTGCTCTTGAATATGTACACAAACCTAAATGGAAGTCAATGGAAGAGTTACATTGAATTATAGTTTTATGAGAGATAGATATATGTCACATTTTAGAGACTACTAAAGCCTGTTTTTCACTTTACAAATTTATTTGAAAAGCGTCGAAAGCGTCTGTTGATTATTCATTCATTCACATTTCTATCTGAGTTTTCGCTTCAGCGAAATTGGTAGGTGGTCTGAACCAAGGGGTGACTGAGAGCCTCGGTCAGTGTCCCGGAATAAAAATCCCTGGTAACGTTCATGAGATGAAGTTATATTGCTTAGTATGGCCCAAAGTGTGCTTTTAGACCACAATATTAGGGATTGGCAATCAAAATAGTGTTATTTGGATAGGTAAGTTATTGTTTTTGGTGCGACAACCTTTCATGGCATCGGACGACGGTTGGTCCAGCCAGGCCTGTCCGATGAGGAGGGTGTAAATGTCCTCCCATTGTCACCACCACTGCTACAGTGGTTAAATAGGTGAGCATTGTGAATATGTGATAAATATGCAATAAATTTTCTTCAGATTACCTCAATTATCACCAATTTGTTAGCTGGCCACTAAGATCAGCCAATCACCATGAGGAGATGACTACCATGATGATTCGATCACATATAATTTTCACATGATCACGATAAGCTAAAGTTTCCAGTGTTTAATTAATCTTTATTCAGCTAAACAACATAATCAACCGTCCAAAATTATCAGGCTTCCCTGTAATAATGTGATAACTGTAAGGCCAAAAAAAAAAATTATTTGTTTTGCCCTTCTCCACCCACCCCTAACTCACTGAGAAAAAATAGTTGCGGAAAAACAAAAGTTTTTTTTTAGCTTTTTTCTTTACAAATAAAAAAAAAGTGAGTGAATTTATCTTTATTTTTTGCCTGATGCCCTACAAATTAGTCTAAAGCCATTATAGGCCTCTGTGGGTTATTTTTATTCCATCTGATGAGTATTTTAAAAAAAAAAAACTTTTTCCACCCGCCCATATTTATCATTTTAAAAAAAAGGACAAACAATTTATTTTTTTTTGGCCTAATCACCATAATCATCTCACAAATTCAGTCAGGTTATCCCATGATCATATGACTGTTGTGATCAAATGCCATCAGCTGCCCCACAATATATATGCTTATACCATGATCATGCAATAACAATATGGTCACGTTATCTCAGTCATGTGACCATGTTCCATATGATCAGCTGATTATGATCAGGTTATCAACCACACTGTGCTCATATGATCAGTGTATCAACGTAGATTATTTCATGATCATATGATCTTATCAGCCAACAAGTAAGTTTGCACATGATTATATAACAACTAACATAATCAGGCTATCCCCATGATCATGGTACCACAGTTATCAGTACAAACAATGTATTCCAATGATCATGGCTGCCGCAGTGATCATGATACCTTTGTGGTCACTACAGTCAGGTTATTCTGTGATCTAATATGGTGCTCTGTCTAGTGGAAAGTCCACTAGCATCTAGGTTTTTTTTTTTCCAGAGAGAACTGTTCATCCTTCTGTATAATGTAAGCCAACTTCAAATTACTGTACTATAGTTCGTAAACGTGATCCATACAAGACAGTCTTTTTAACTATTTTTGCTTTTGCTAAATCGTCCATGCCTTATAATAAATTATTTTGGTCTTAAATATCCTGTCCGAGATTGCGCCAGGGTGGTGGCGGACGGTGACCTCTCAGAGATTCTGTATTTTCTTTTGTTGTGCCTTTATTTCTTTTTTGCTTTCTGTTTTAAATTGATTTATTTTATTTATTTATTATTTTTATGATGTGAAGTGCATAGAAGCTTTGTTTAGCATTATGCACTATACAAGTGTTATTACATTATTATTATTTATGTTTCTGAATCTTTTATCTGTAGGCCCTACTCTTTCACATTGTCATTTCTAAAATTTCTGCAAGTTTTCTAGTACTGTGTACTTAATTTTGTATAACTGGTGCAGATGGAGGATTTGGCGGTAGGGGTTCGTGATAAATTTTGAGAATGTGGACCTTGAGGTGCCCGGAAGTTGCACTCTCATACTTTTAAAATCTTGCCGGTACTATATTTTTAGTGGAAAAAATAATATATCGACAATACAATACTGCAATTATTTTTCTTAATACAATTTAAAGAGGTGCACCCCCTCTGCATCCGCGCCAGTATAACGATTCCTCATCTTTCTTTCGTGTCCATGACCACTTTATCATGTGATCATTTTATCGCCATACACCGTCATGATCCATCACCTTGGTCAAGCTGTCTGTTTATTTGATGATTAATTTTGCTCTGCACTTCATTCAACGTAAACTAATAGAAAACAAATGGATTAATTATGGATATTATTTAGGTAATTAATTTAAAATTGACTTTTAATAGGAAATTCATTTTGTTCACTTTAATATCACAAGACCTTGTCCAGCTAAACAGTTTGTCGATAACAAGATATTTTCTCGTTCGTCCGCTAATGACGACTTCGCTGACGATTTGTAAGGAAACTAATCACTGGATTATAGATAATTTTGACGATTGGTTGTGAACTTGAAAGTACTGTACTGCTTTGTAGGTTCATTATGTGACGAATCAAGACACTGATATAGAAATTCAATTTGTGAGCTGATACATTCAAATTATCAAACCAAGGATAGTTTGATGAAATATTCCGTTACTGTATTGATATCAGTTTAGTTGGAGTTAGTGAAGTTAATGACCAATCAAGTCAAATGTTTATTTTTAAAGTAGAACCCGTTTCAAAGTTCATGCCAGTTATGTTTCGAGCGAGTTCGAAATCTGGAATACATTGCAATACATGGGGATTGGTTTAAGAATATGATCAATTTGGGTGAAATTATAGACGTTGATGAAAATTCACTTCAAAATGTCGATTTTAATAAAGGAACCAGTTCAAAGGTCATAGTAGTTCTGTATTCATTGAGTCGAAATTTAATCAATTTATGTGGAAATGGTAATGCTAATGACACTCAAATCAACTCTTTTATAAAAGAAAATGAAATGTTTCGAAGTTAATGTTATTCCTGTAAATAATGGAATAGGTTGAAGTTCATTTAAGAATGTGACATTGCCCGATTGTTGCACAATTATTCTTTATTGACAAAGGGAAAAAACTAAATATTTGAAATGAAAACGCGAGGGAGTAGGCAAGAACCAAACCTATAACATAGTAACGTATGTAAAGGGTCCAACGCACATGGGATATTGTAATGTTACCCATAACATGTCAAATTCAGATATAGATCTTTACATTTATTTTATGATACAATTTTGTTATTAACAAATTCATGTTAAAGTAGGTAGTGTAGTGTGCTACTGTTTTGTTTTTTTTGTTATACTAAAATTGAATTTAAGATACAATCTTCTTGTATATTTATTTAAAATTTTCAAATTTAAATTGGGCAATACGTTATAATTATTGTCTTTTACCATTTTTTTTATTTTGAGCCTTTTAAACCTAATAATTTTTTTTAAAGTACAGTAAACTATTCTTAAAATTATTAATTTATGTATAGTAAAACTAAAGAAATAAAGTAAATACAAATTTCAAATTTAAATTGGGCAATACGTTATTGTCTTTTAACATTTTTTTAGCACTTTAAACGTAATTATTTTTTAAAGTACAATAAACTATTTTTTAAATTATAAATTTATGTATAGTAAAACTAAAAGTTAAGTTTATCTTTTTTTGTAAACCTCATTCATTTTCATTTAACAAAAAATGAGCAACATCAATAAATAGATAAGTGAGTTTCATACTGCTAAACCATGTTAGCCTCATAAATTCAATCCAATCAGAATTTCCCCCTCATACAACTGATATATGCCTCACATAGTGTACATTAAAATATGACTAATTGGTACTGGTATTTCATCCACTTGGTTGAATATCGTTTGTATTCCGGATTTGGAAAATATTCGACTTACCACGCGCATAAGAGGTAGTTATAACAGGTTATGACATTGAGTGAGTGACATTAATGTAGCGAGACGGGTGCGATGACTACCCATCTCGCCTAAGTATGTGTATAGGAAGCGAATGCCTTTTAAGCCTCGCCGTATAATGGATCTTTTTATTCATGTATGCATTTGTTTCACACTGTAAAGAGAAAAATTGATTTAGCTTGTCATGGAAACTCGATGACAAGAACAAGGTACATAAACGAATGAAACGCCGGCTATTCGTGCAAGCGATTTTCTGTCTGCAGAGACTACTACTAATGTCGTTTCAAGCGATTAGTAGTAATTGTTTCCAATTGTTCTATTATTTATTTTGCATTTACAGACCAAGCCGATTGCTGTACATGTACACTCTAGCGCTATTAGCTAATATAGTGATGCCATATAAACACATGCAATGCAACGCACACATAAGCACCAATCACCACCCATTTTTTTTCCAATTGCACCCACATACACATAAAAATACACTCTATACCTATATATGGCTTGTAAGCGAAGGGTTACCGTGGGTGATTTAATATCTGTATTGTAATTTATGCTTTTTTTCACAAAACAAAAATGATTAAAAATCAATATTACCGTTAGGCTAAAAATACTGAACAATTAAATTTTAATTCAGTAAAAAGCTTACTTTGTATGTTTACTGAGTTATAACCGGGGTAGCACCAGGATTTGCCTGACGGGGGTCCGATATTCCCGACGGGGCGGGGCGATATCCCCGACGAGCCCATAGATAGACGTGGTCAGGCGTCGGTCTTATCTCGGACAACATAAAATCAATTATGGAGCCTACACATAACATGTAAAAATACTGTCTTCCTCCCCGACGAATTGTGTTTTTCTCCCCGACGAGGTGGGGGGGGGGGGGGTGCTCCCCCTTCTGGTTATTTACTAACCCGTAATGCTGTCCCTATGGTTTTTTTTTTTTTTTTGGTTTTTTTTTTTTTTTGCACAGACCACCACCATAAGTAAAATGACTATTAAATCGTCGATAATCAATTAAGTTCTATTTTTAAATTCACCGTCAGCCAATAAAAATAGCTAAAATAATTTGTTTTGTGAAAAGTATACAAAGGTATTAATTCATCGCTTAGTTTGATTTTGTCAACACGTATTCGATTTGCGCACAGTGCGCATGCACGGAATGATACGGGATAAACGCTTGTAATTACGAGTGTGTGTAAATCACGCGTCACGTATTTAAGCTAGTGGTTAATGAGAGATAACCCGTACCGGTATGTGTTTCGGTGTCTTCTTTTTCTTTTCTTTATATTTTTTTTAACACCAATAAACTACAAATATTATATTCCTACGATTAATATTATTTTTTAAATTGCAAGCTTACTTTGATGTGTCGTACTGGAATATGATACGACTTTGAGATGATTTGTATTTTGAATGTTAACTGTCCTCGGGGGTCTACAACGCGAGTGCGTTTCCTGGTAATTGATAGTTCAATGCACTTTGACATAACGTTCCTTACAATGTAACCAGATATACTTTTAAGAAATTTAGTAGATCGTTTTATCACAGATCCTATGGTTCTGT